GGGGGGGGCTCCGCGACCCCCCCGGGAGACCCCATGGCCGCGCTGGAGCCGGCCCAGGTAGGGCTGGAAGGGGCTCAAACTGGGGGGGACGACCCGGGCCCCCGGAGTCTGCCCAGTCTGAGCCGGGGCGCGGGGGTCCCGGCCCGGGGGGGGACGGTCAGCCGGGGTCTGCTTTTAGTCTGTGTCCTGCTGAAAAAGGCGTTTGCTGAATCTCGTTTCTTACTTTGCGTTTTTTTAAAGAAAAACCTGACTTTTTTTTTTAATTGTTCTAAAAAAATCTGACTTTTTTTAAAAATTGTATTTCTTACTTTTTTTTTTAATTTTTATTTCCTCTTTTAAATTTTAGTTCTATTTGCTTTAGTTCTTACTATTTTTCTCTGGTTTAGTTCTTTGGTTTTTTAATTTTTATTTCCTACTTTAAAAAAAATAATTTATTTTTTAAATTTTGGATCTTACTATTTATTTTAGTTCTTACTATTTTTTTCTTTTTAGTTCTTACTTTGTTTTTTTATTTCAGCTCTTACTTTGGCTTTTTAATCAGTTCTTTTTTTATTTTAGTTCTTTATGGTTTTTTCTTTTTCGTTTTGACTTTGTGATTTTTTTATTTTGGTTCTTTGGTTTTTTTTTATTTTGGCTGTTTTTTATTTTGATTCTTACTTTGGGTTTGGGGTTTTTTTTGTTGTTGTTCTTTTTTTTTTTTTTTTAATTGTGGTTCTTACTTTGTTTTAGTTTTTAAAATGTTGCCACTCTGTTGCCCATTTAACTCATTGAATTCCCCCCCAGGTGCCCGAGGCTCTCCAGGAGGTCACCATCGCTGCCACCACTGAGAAGCCGTGGCCACTCTCCGGCCACCGCCCCCCCCTCCCAGCAGGTAGGGAGCTTGGTCCCCCCGGCCCCCCCAAGTCCTTTGGGCATCTTGGTGGCCTCCCCAGTGCCTTTCGGTGGCCCATGGGGGCAGGAGGACTCATCCAGCCCCACCAACCTCTCTCCCGGTGCCCATGGGGTGCCTCTCCCAGGAGCTCCTGGTTTTGACCAACAAGGCTCCTTGTAAAAGAAATCCTGCTCTTTCTCCTCATTTTGTCATGTTCTGTGGGTCGTACGTCTGCGTCAGAGAGTCGTGGGGGGCTTCTGGGGTTCATCCCATGGAGGATGCCCAAGGTAATCGCTTGCGTTTGCTCTTCGCACCTCAGTTCCTGGGATAAACCTTGTTTGCCCAAGGATGATGACGTGTGCGGCCACCGGGAAAGGTGAAGGTGATGCCCGTGGTGATGGGAATGGTGGGATCAACCCTAAATCTGGTTGGGTTTCCCTTGGTCTGCTCTGGGAGGCAGCTCACGGAGCTTCCTTGGCTTACTCTGTGCGTGAGGCTTTCTAATTTGGTGTTTTTCACTAATACTGTCCAAGAAACTTAGCTGAGAACTTCCTTTAAACACCTAAGCCCTGCCTCCATCCTCAACAGGAGATGGGTGGGATCACTGGGTGCTCTCCTCAACACCCCGAGTCCCTCAAACACCCGTTGAGGTGCTCCAAGCATCCCAGCCTGGGCAGGCGGATGCTCTTCTCCCACCTATGCCGTGAGTAAAGCTGCCAGAAATGAGTTAAAATACGGGAGTTAAATGAGTGAAAAGAATCTGCTGGAGGGATGTCCTGCCTGGGAGCTGAGGCTTGGCGGCTTCTTTGGGCTCACAGTGCCCTCTCCTGACAGCTCCTGGCCACCTGAAAAGGGACGCTTTAGGGTATGGAGAAGTCCCCCAGTCTCCTCCAGCCATGAGATACGAGTTGTGGGTCCAGGAGCGGAGTGGGCAGGATGGACTCAAGTTGAGTTTTTAGGGCACTTGGGTGGGTGGTTCATGTGGCTTTTGGAGTTGCTTGATCATAAGGTGAATCAACATGAACTTGACCTCACCGTATCACAGGTTTCCCTTTTTTTTTGTTTTACTGTGGTCCTCCTTGCTCTTTTCTAATCTGATTTAATTTGGGGACTGGGCAGCATCAGTACTTAACCTTTTCAGCTTAACCTTTTAGGTTACCGCTGATTTTCTAGATGATGCCCATGAGAAGACTGCGCTGTCCTTGGGCACGCTGAGCCGCTTCAGCTAAGAAATAATTAATGGCAACGATTCAGCCTTGAAGGGCACTAAAAAAATAAATGCATAAGTGGATAAATAAGATAAACAAGCGGATAAAAGTCAGGCTTTGATGCGCAGCTCGGTCCTCGAGCATCACCTGGTCCTTCTCCAACGTCCTGCTCTTGGAGTAGACTGTCAATGGACCCAAGTGTCTGACTTACCAGGATGCGACCCCCTTAACTTGGGAGCGTGGCTTGTCCACCGTGCCCCTCACAAAGATTTTTCTCAAAGTAAAATCAGGGAGCGGGTGACTTGGGCGAGATGCACCCAAGCTATGCCTGGTTTTACTCCTGGGTTTTTCCAACCTTCCTTTCCCTCCTGCTTGATATTCCCTGAGTCCTTCCAGATGGACAATCTCTGCCTTTCTCAACTGCTCCTGATCTCTCTGAGCTTTTCTGTCTTCTTGAAAAGTGATCTCGGGGCTGATTCCTCTCTGGTTCAAGCCTTTTATTCTCTGGGATGCCTTCTCCATCACCTGGAAAGCTCTTGTAGATACCCTCAGCAAACCCTGCTGGGACTTCCCTCCTCGGAGACCTGAGCACCTGGATTTTTTTCCTTCTCTTTTTTGAAGAGGGATGAGTTTTAAGGTCACACCTCTTGTCTCCTGTCACGAGGCATCACAGACCGTTGTTAACTACCCAGTAATCCACCACTGTCTACCTGAGCAGACTTCCCTGTATATAACCCTGACCTGCTCGCTCGGCTGGAGCAAGGGGAGGAGGTTTGGATCCCTGACATCCAGAGCTCGGAGGAGGAAGAGGAGGAGGAACAACTGGCGAGACCCCTCTTGAGGTTGTGGACAAGGAAAAGGAAATGGTGGAGAAGCTGCTGCGATGCCGGGAGCTCCTCCGGCTCCAACTCCTCTCGCTCAGGTAAGGGACTTGTTTTCCACCCCAAAATGGAGATGCCAGGCATGGCTCCTTGCCTCCAGCAAGCAAGATCATACTGGAACTGATGTAACTGGAGTGTGGGGGGGTGGGGGGTGGGGGTCTGAGGACCCATTTGGGCATTGGCAGCCAGAGATACCAAATGCTTCTGGCAGGAAGAGGATGCTGCTTCTTCCGGATTGGCGTAGCTGGACGGGATTGAGGGATGAAATCAGTCATGGTTTGGGGTGTTTCTCTCCATCCCTGCTCAAGCTCCCTCCCTGGCATGGTCAGGATGGGGGTCGAGGTGGATTCCCTTTCTTATTTTTTTTTAAATATTTTTTTGCTTTTCCTGGCAGACGATGGGTGGACGAGCGAGACGGAGGAGGACAGTTCCCAGGAAGAAGATGAAGATCTGCACGGTGGGTCGGCGAGGAAACCCAAAGGTGGCATCTCCCTGGGCTATGAGCACCACAAGAACCACTCGGGAAGGAGATCGGCTTCTTCCAGCCACAATGGGAGAAAGCCTAATACCAAGACCCCCTCAAGAATACAGCTGGGGCAGCACAAGCACGCCTGCAGCAAGTGTGGGAAAAGCTTCAGTCGTGGTTCGTCTCTCAACCGGCATCAGAGGGTCCATCTGGAAGAGAAACCCTTCACCTGCTCCAACTGCAGGAGAAGTTTCACCTGCAGCTCCACCCTCAAGGACCATCAGAAGACCCGATGCCAAGAGAAGCCCTACAAATGTCCCAGCTGTGAGAAACGCTTCACTTCCGCAAAGTCTCTCAAAAAACATCGCCACCTCCACCTGGAGAACGGGGCGTACCGGTGCTCCGACTGTGGGAAAAAACTCACTTCCAACTCAGCTCTTATCATCCACCGGAGGATACACACCGGGGAGAGACCCTATGAGTGCCCAGACTGCGGGAAAAGCTTCATGGCCAAGAAGTCCCTCAACAAGCATCGCAAGAGCCACACGGAAGATGGGTTCTTCATCTGTCCTGACTGTGGGAAAAAACTCACTTCCAACTCAGCTCTTATCATCCACCGTCGCATACACACTGGGGAGAGACCCTACGAGTGCCCCGACTGTGGGAAAAGATTCATGGCCAACAAATCGCTCAGCAAGCATCGCAAGACACATGTGGAGGAAGGGACCTATAAGTGTTCCGAGTGTGGGGAAACCTTCCCCAAAAACTCAGCCTTCGTAGTCCATCTCAGGACCCACAGGGCCCAGCCCCCCTATCCGTGCTCCGACTGCGGGGAAGCTTTCTTTGAAAGCTCATCTTTTAAGCGACACCAGAAAAAGCATTTGGTAGAGAAACCCCACCAGTGCTCCAACTGTGGGATCGCCTTCACCGTCCACTCGGCCCTCCTCCTCCACCAAAAGAGCCACATAGGACCCAGACCCTACGTCTGCTCCGACTGTGGGAAAGCTTTTCGGGAGAGCACCACCCTCCGTAGGCACCAGCGTATCCACACGGGTGAGAAACCCTACCAGTGCTCTTACTGCGAGAAGAGCTTTCGGGCCAGCTCCACCCTCATCATCCACCAAAGGATCCACACTGGGGAGAAACCTTATAAATGCACCAAATGCACCAAGTGCTTCATGTCCAGCTCTTCCCTTATGAAGCATCTGCGGACGCACCTCCGCAAGGAGCTGCTGATGGGTCCCAAACAATGACTTGGTTTGCCCAACCCCTTCAAGGTGCCTTTGGGTGCCCACCTCAATGACCATGGATGGATGGATGAACGGATGGATACCCCCTTCCGTGTCCCATCCATCCCAGAAATGCATTTCAGCCTAATTTTCACCCTTCCTCCAAACACACCTGATGGCAGAGGATGTTCTCGGGACCAGGCGTGCAGTGGTGGGTCGCGGCACGGTGCCAGGGGACAGCGGTGGCTGCTCAGTCCCCGACCCTGGGGTGGCTGCAGAGATGCCGATGCCACGATGGGATGGAGGGCTGCGGGGTTTGGGGAATGCTTGGCTTGGCTTGTGCATTAGGAACCTGCTGGAGGAGAACATCTAGGTCCTCCTTTAGAGACTAAAAAGCCTCATTTTAGGTTCCCACCTCCAAAAACAGTTAAATATTTCAAGAGAAGGCCCATCCTGAAACCCAGGGGTCTCCGTCCCCCCTGAGGTTCAGTCCATTTGGATCATCTGTTTTTATTGGATACAGCATTTTCCAAACACACATTTCCTTCCCCAATTTCCCCACCTCGTGCTCACTGTCCCCCATCTGATTTTTATGCTGCCATCTTCAAAATACACCGTGAAGAATTTGGCTCAGCTGTGACAGCTTGTTTGTGGGTACCTGCTTTAAAATGAGGTGCAATAAAGTGGAACAGGGTTTCCGGGAGTGCGGGATCGTGATTTGGTCGCTTGCGGTTGGGTAAGCTGGGGGAGAGAGATGGGATGGGGAACCCTCACGGCTCCTCCACCCCCCATCTCCAGCTGGTCCTGGCGCTCTCCTGAGCCAGGACGATGCTCTTAGCTGGCAGAAAGCCGAGCTGCATCCAAGGTTGAGCGTGCACATGGAGGATGTGAGGATGCGCCAGGGAACATGGTCTTGGGGAGCCATCTGCACCCCAACCAGAAGCTGGAGAACCTGGGGTTGGAGAACCTGGAGCCCTGTGATCGTGGAGCTGGAGGGGACATGCCCGCGGGTGGGGTGGCCTTGGGGTCTTCCTGCACCCAGGGAGGGCTGTGATGGGTCTGAACTTCCACAGGTCCCAACATCAGGGGAATGTCGGAGTTGTGGGATGGTGGGGACAGGCTCTGGGGTTTGCCCCAGCGGCTCCTGCATCGCTGTGGGGTGGTTCTGACCCACCCCCCCCGCCCCTGCCCAGTGCTCCCCGTGTAGGGACCAGGCACCGAGTCGGCTGTCCTTCCCTTCTCCAGGACGTCAGGAGCACCATGAGCAGGTATGTCCCATCCTTGGCATCCTCACCATGGTGGCGGGTGGGCTCCTGGAGAGGTCCAAAAGGGACCCCAGGGCAGTGGGGCATCATCCCCCTTCCTGGACATTGACCCAGAAAATGAAATGGAGCTGCCAGGAGGAGCGATGGCAGCTCAGCAATGCCAGGAGATGACTTTGTGCTCTTCAAGACCCTGCTGACCTTCACGGGGGTGCAAGCATCGGATCGGCGGCTCTCGCACCAGCCGGAGACAGCGTGGGCACAGCCGGACGATGCCCTTGGTGCTGCCTGCTCTGTCTGGCATGGAAGGATGGATGGATGGAGAAGGGGTTGGAAGCCGGCTGGCAAAGTCCCCCACCCAGGAGAAGTGCCAAGAGCACCAGAAAGCCCTGGAGATGTTCTGCAGGGAGGACCGAACCCCGGTGTGCCGGTGCCGTGCTGAGTCGCAGGCTCGCCGTGTCCATGCCGCTGTTCCCCTCTGGGAGGCTGCTGAGGAATACAAGGTGCTGCAATTTCCGTGCCAGAAAGGTGGAGGGCGAGGGGCTGCCTGCTCCTGTGGCCAGGAGGACCAGACCCTGCCAAGGTCTTGTAGCTGTGGGTGCTCGTGGGGATGGGGTGGGAGGGGTGGGGGGGCTGCGGTGGGGGTTGGGTTCAGCAAATTCGCCACCGGTGCTTCGAGAGGGGTTTGCACAGCTAAAGGGCCAGGTGATGTCATTATAGCGTGGTAATGATGTGGTGGGGGATGTAAGGTGGTCCATCAACAGTTTCAGCTACTGGTTTCTCCAGCGCTACTGGGAGGTGGAGGTGGGGGACAACACCGAGTGGGACGTGGGGGTGTCTGGGGAGACTGAAGAGGAAGGGGACGGGTCCTCCCTCCCCACCAGCAGGCTTCTGGAGGATGTGCTTGAGGAACAGCAACCAGCACAAGGTCCTGCTCTCCCACCCCATCACCCTTTCCACCCGAGCAAAGCCCAGGAGATTGGGGGATCTACCTGGATTACAAAGGTGGAGAAGCGACCTTCTACACCGCTGCCGACCAGACCCACCTCTGCACCCACAGTGGGGCCTTTGCTGGCATCCTGAGACCCTTCTTCAGCCTCGGCTTGTCCCAGGGAGGGAGAAACACCAAATATCTCATGGTCTGCCCAGCCATGGAGCAGGAATGAGGGCAGCCAGCTGCCCATCCCCATATCTCCAAATCCTGGGAGGGCTCAGCTCAGGGATTTTGGGGTTAGAGTGGTTCCATGTCCCCAGAAAGGATGACAACTGGACCACTGCAAAAAATAATGATTTTTTTTTATCCCTATGAACCTCTTTTTGTTCTTTTTTTTTTTTCCTGGGGATGTCAATACAATTTTAATTCACCTGTACTTGGGAAAAAAACCCCACCCCATGGGTGTTTGGGAGGAATTTCTATAAATGTCCATCATCCTTCCTTTTGAAATCCCAGGGGTTTTTTTTTTTTAAAAAAAAAAAAAAAAAAAGGCTGCCAGGGCTTGTGTAAGTTGGGGGAGCGAAGCTGGGCAGAAAATTGGGGGAAGAAACCAAACCCAGGATGTTCTCGGCATCTGGGAACAGTCCCCAAGCTCCCTTGTTCATGTTGCCTACCCAGAGCTCCATCCTTTGGCTCCCAAAGGGAAGAGAAGCTGAGCGTGATCCCCGGGCTGAGACCCCATTCCCATCCCCCAACCCCCTTTAAAACACCCCATTATGAATTTTGCAGCATTCCCAAATTCTTGTCTTATTGCTTTGCATAACAACCCAACTTTTTCCACTGGGGCAGTGTGACCCCTGGGGTGGCAGGACAGGGCTGAGACCCCCAACCCCCCTTTAAAAATCCCCATTAAGAATTTTGCAGAATTCTCCAATTTTTTTCTTATTGTTCCACAAAACAAGCCCAAGTTTTTCCAGCAGGGTAGTGTGGCCGAGCGGTCTAAGGCGCTGGATTAAGGCTCCAGTCTCTTCGGGGGCGTGGGTTCGAATCCCACCGCTGCCAGGTCTCTTTTGGGCTCTGCAGGGAGCACAGCTGGAGCATGGCATGGTGTCACATCTGGAGCATGTGTGTGGGGGACACACACCACATCTGGAGGAGTGCTCTGCCCACTTTTGGGCTTCCCCAGTACCGGGTGAGCGTGGGCATGCTGGATTCAGTGGAGAAGCTGGACTCAGCAAGACGCTTTGCATCGTGACGGGTGATTTTCATGCCCCCCCCCCCCCCAGCACCTACCCAGGGTTAGGTGTGGGTGTCCTGGAATCCCTTTGGGATAGAGATGGGCTCGCCCCTGGTTCCCCCTCCCCAGGTCTGGGTATGGCCCCCTGCCCCCCAGAGCTGCGTATCGCCACTCCAGCACCCCAGTATCCATACGCTGCTATGGGTACAGCCCCTCAGACCCCCCCCACCCCGAACCCCTTATTTTGGGTATGGGTGAGGATGGGATCTTGGGGATACGTCGTCCCCAGGGATCAGAGGTCCCCAAGCTGACAGGGCAAAGGGACAGGGCACAGCCAGGATGTCCTGACACTTGAAGACACCCCCCCCAACCACTTCTTGTCCCTCGGGAAGCAGTCCTGAAGGGCAAACCCATGTGCCAAAGGATGAGCTGGTGGGGAAGAAGACTGGCCCAGCTGAACAGAGAGTTTTGGTTGGAACTCAGGGAAAAAAAAAAAAGAGAATTTATGACCTTTGGAAGAAGGGGCAGGCAGCTCAGGAGGACTACAGGGATGTCGTGAGGGTATGCAGGGAGGAAACGAGAAGGGCCAAAGCCCAGCTAGAACTTAATTTGGCTACTGCTGTAAAAGGCAATTAAAAAAAAAAAAGTTTCTATAGATACATTAACAATAAAAGGCAGGCTAAGGAGAATCTCCATCCTTTATTGGATGCTGGGGGAACACAGTGTCAAAGACTGAGGTACTTAATGCTGCCTTTGCCTCTGTCTTTAATAGTAAGGGCAGTTGTTCTTGGGGTGCCCAGCCCCCTGAGCTGGAAGACAGGGAGCAGGATGAAGCCCCCGTGGTTTAGCGGTAGACATGGCAGCATCAAGTTTGCAGTTGGACTCGATGATCTTAAAACCAAAATGATTCTACGAGTCTATGGAAAGGGAGATGCAAAATCTGATGCCAGCTGGAATGCGAGTGTGCTTGCAGAGCAGCTGGGATGGTCCTTGGTGACCCTGGACCATGGCTGGGCACCCGCCCGCAGGCTGGTGGTGTTCCCAGGGTGCTGCCTTTTGACCCAAAGTCCAGCGTGGCGTAGCCATCCTCATCCTCCATCGGCCAGACCCGCGCTGCCGGGGAGCGACCACTGCATCCCGAGGATGTGCATCAGTCCCAGTCCCGGCGCAGAGGGATGTATCGTGACAGAGGTGAGCTCTGGCAGTGTCGCCCGGGGGCCAGATCCATCCCATTGCAGGCACCTGCTGTCGGGATGGGGGTTTGGTTGGGGGCTGGTGGTGGGAAAGGGGTTCCAAGCACCGTGGTGGACCCTGGATCCACCCTGGCGAGGCAAGCTGGTGATTCCACAAGAGCTAAAGGCTGTTCCCAGTGCAGGGATCATGTCAGCGTGCTCTGCCCAGCACCCCACTGCATTTCCCAGCACCCCACTGCATTTCCCTGCCCAGCAGAGCCCTGCAAACCTCTGCTCCGGATCCCACGGGCAGCCCCTGGCTGGGTGCTGCAGGACCAGGATGAGGGTGCGAGGTGCTGGGTGGGACGGGCACGGCGAAAGTTGTGGGGTGGGAAACCGGCCGGTTATGAAAGCTGCATGCAAGCAGCAAAGGGTAGAAGGGAGCTGGGCAGTGCTCAGGGGGAAGGGCCGGTGTCCGACCCCCCCTTGGAGCACCCCTGAGTTTTTGGAGCCCGAGCAAAAGGGACGCAGCGATGCTTTTGGTCCAGCCTGGGCTTTGACAGCACGCTCCCGGGAGAGGAGTTAAAGAAATCTGCTCATTTCCAGCCCGATTGGTCCAGGTAAGGGTGTCCTGCAGGCTGGGAATCGAACCAGCTACCGTCATACCTTGGGCCAAGCCTCCAGATGTTTGGGACAGGGAATCCCTATCACTTCCAGAAAATAAATTTTGTGAACAAAAGCCCAAAGCCCCACTGCCAGCCTCTCTCTTCACCCCCACGGCACACACACCTACACCACAGCAAGGCAGCAGATGAGCTTTCACCGTGTTCCCCCCCCCCCCCCCCCTTTTTTTTTTTTTTTTTTTTTCAGGGGTGCATCTTGCTGGTCCTCATGTCCTCTCCCATCTGCGGCCAAGGGCTGGAGAGCAGCCGGGGATGAAGGCAGCTGGTAAATCAGCACAGGCATCTCCCAAACAGCCTCAGCACAGCCGGAACTGTCGTCCCCCCCCGCCTCCCCCTTGGCTTTTTCCTGTGCCTCCACACAGCAACCCGGCCAGCAACGCGGAGCGGCCTCCTTTGCTGTGGGCAGAGCATCCCGGGGACCCTCGGCAGAGCGGGGGGACGACGACACGGGACCAGGGGTCCAGCCACCCGCAGCATCGCTCGCCTCAAGGAGAGGATAAAGAGTCGCTCGAGGGGCTGCGAGATTTTGGGAGGGGGGGGAGAGCGCATCGCAATTGAGAAGTGGTGGGAAAAAAAAATCCCCCAAACCCCGGGGGGGAGACCATCGGCTCCCTCTGACGGCGGCGTGTCTGCCTACCTCGCCCCCACCCCAAAACAGGGCTTTCCAGCCCCAAATCAGCCTCTGGATGGAAGAAGGGGGAGAGATGGTGATGCCTGGTCCCATGGGGAGAGAGGAGCTGAGCGGCCTCGGGCGCATTCGTGCAGGTGAGAAATCGGGGTGCGGGAGAGGAGCCACCAGGCATCGCCTTCGTTTCACCCTGCCAACGGGCGAGGATCGTGCCGGAGGGGTGGTCCTTTGGAAATCATCCCTCCGTGGTCAACCTCCATCCCACGACTCCTCGCCAGTCCCTGGAAACAGCCGCCGATGTGTCAGGTCCCATCCCAGGGCAAAACCATAACTCAATCTCCATCTAACCCTGCAGGAGACGGGATGCGGAGGGAGGATGAAGGATGCTGTGTGGAGCAGGGGTGTCCCGATGGAGCCAAAGCGGGTGAAACGGTGGTAAAATCCGAAGGGAATAACCGTGGGAGAGCTTGTGAGAGCAACTGGGGGATGGAGGGATGCCCGGGGATGGAGCAGAAGGACGAATTCACCCGTGGCAAGGGGTATCAGCAACTCTTTGCAGAAGAAAGTCTCTACGAATGTTCCCACTGCAAGAAATGCTTCCAGGACAGGTCAGAGCTCATTTGCCATCAGAGGTTGCACAGGGGAGGAAAGACTTTCAAATGCCAGGAGTGTGGAAAAGAGTTTGGGAAGAGCTCAGACCTTAGTTCCCATCAGAAAAGCCACATGGCGGAGAAGCCCTACCAGTGCTCGACGTGTGAGAAGTTCTTCAAGGACAGGTCCACCCTCATTAGGCACGAGAGAGTGCACACAGGAGAGAAGCCCTACAAGTGCCACGAGTGCGGGAAGAGGTTCACCCGCAGCTCGGACATCATCGTCCACCAGCGGACGCACACGGGGGAGAAACCCTTCGAGTGCTCCGAGTGTGGGAAGAGGTTCAGCCAACGGTCCAACCTCTTCACCCATCAGATCGTCCACACCGGGGAGAAACCCTTCACCTGCCACGAGTGTGGGAAAAACTTTGCCCGCAGATCGGAGCTCACCATCCATCAGCGAACGCACACCGAGGAGAAGCCCTACCAGTGCTCCCAGTGTGAAAAATCCTTCCGGGGGAGGTATGGACTCTTCAGGCACGAGAGGTTGCACACGGGGGAGAAACCCTACGAGTGCTCTGAGTGTGGGAAGAGCTTTGGCCAGAGCGGGGACCTTATCACCCACCAGCGCTTCCACACGGGAGAGAAGCCCTACCACTGCTCTGAGTGCGGGAAGTTCTTCTGCAATAAATCCAGCCTCGTTAAACACCAGAAATGGCATTTGGGGGAGAAGCCCTACAAGTGCCACGAGTGCGGGAAAAGCTTCGGGCAGAGCTCGGACCTCATCGCCCACCAACGGACCCACACCGGGGAGAAGCCCTACCCCTGCACTGAGTGCGGGAAGAGGTTCACCAGGAAATCCAGCCTCATCGTCCATCAGAGGGGACACAGAGGACGGAGAACTGGAGAACGCTCAAAATGCGGGAAGAACTCAGAGGAAGACTCTGGCGCCCATGCTCCCAGCAGTGTGGGCATGGGAGAAGGCTCGTCCCCGTGCTCCGAGTGTGCAAAGCCCCTCGAGGAGGCATCAAGCCTCCTTGACTGGCAGACGTGACGCAGAGGAGAAAAAAAACACCTCCCAAGTGCCTGGAAGAGGAAGAAATGGCTTGGCTTGGCTTGGCTTGGCACCAAGATCATGCAAGACGAGAAGAAACGAGAGCAGCGTGGGACATCCTCCTGTGTGAGATTTAACCTTTTTGGGGGGGGCGGGTATTGGAGACTACTCAGGCGCAGAAAAAGAGTTAAACACTACAGCATGGGTTCCTCAGTGATGGAAAAAGGCTAATTCCTCCTAATTCCTCACATTATCGCATAGATCGTTTAATAGTCTTTGCTTTGCTCCTCCAGCAGCTTCATCCAAACTCTTTGCTCCCTGGTGAGACCCCTTCTACCACCCTATTCCGTCTTTTTTTTCAACATCTTGCTGTTCTATTTTTTTAAGGTTAGCTGAGACATGGGCTCTGCTCCTGTCCAAGTGTCCGTCGCACGTCCAGCCTCGATGCGTCAAACCTCGACTTAAAAAAAAGTTGATTGTTCCTAAGGAGATTTTTATTTTCATATTAGATATTTGATAAAAATATATGGAAATTTTATATTGCTAGAGGAATATTAGAGGAATGAGCATTTTCCCTCCAGGAGGTGTAGATGTTTTTAACAGTGGAGAAAAATCAAAAGATCTCCACTGTGGATGTTGGGGAGTGGAGAAAGCATCCGCTCTACCCGATCGAAGGGAAAACCGCGAGATTTCAGTGAAAGGAACACAATGTGAAAGGATCAGTATCCCAAAAGGAAGCCGTCGGAGGTAACTTACATCAAATGTTCAATAAATAACCCGTTTCTTTCCTTCGCTGGCATGCTCTGGGTCATCACTGCTGCTCGCGCCGTGGCTGGGGCTGAATGTGCCGCCACCAAGAGAAACACCGGTGGGAGCTCTGTACTGGGGCTGTTGGGTTTTACTGGGAGGACACGGCAGTCTGGGGACGTGTGTCTCCGCTCTCGCCATTTCGGGCATCCTCCGTGCCCGCCGTGCTCTGCCTCTCTTACCATCACGCTGGGGCCAAACTGGTCCCAGTACGTCCTCTGTACTGGTGCTACGGCTGGAGTGTCTGCAACCAGATTCAACGTCTGGTGGCGTGACGCTGCTCTGTGGCTGATGGGAACGGTCTGAAACTTCCCTGCCTGTGCCCAAAATTATGGGACCCTCACCTACATCCCCATACCCGCAGTGCAGGATGGTTCCCCCAGACCCAGGTGGGCATCCAGCGCCTCCAGCACCACCAGTCCTGCTGGTATTGAAGGACCACGCTGGGGGGGGGACACACAAGCCGGGAGGGCAGCCCATGGTGGGGGGAACATCTGGGGCTGAGATGGAGCCCGGCGCTCCTCCAGCAGAACCAGGCTGGTGGCCCCATAGTGGGCTTGGAGGATTTGGGGG